TTTATGTTGCGTATATTCAAAATATACGAGGAGTTATAGCCCTCCAAAGATGCCTGACTTTCCAAGGCAGAAAAGCAGATCGAACTCTTTTGGTTTGGCAGCAAAGCAGATCCCAAGCAGATCGAACTCTCTTGGTTTAGCAGGAAAGCAGATCGGACTCTTTCGTTAGGGTGCATCGTACTAAAATGTTGGCATTAACTGATTAAAATGTGGAAGACGAAACAAAATGATGGATTTAACCATTTAAGTTATCAGTTCACAACAGTAGGAAGTATAAGAAAAATTAACTTTTTCCATATTAACAAATTTTCTTTTTTAAAGGTTTTGAGTGTATTAATCCTGTGTTGGTATTAATTATATATATTCCAAATACTGTGCCATTTTATTTTGAAGCTTTATTTAATAAAGTTATAGTTCACTATTATCTTTAATATTTGTGGTCTAATTAGGCTTTATAAAGCTCTTTCTATTCTTGGTTATTGTTTTGTTATCTTTAAAGCTGTTGTTTTTATGCAATTTGTTCATAACTGAAATAAATATGAATACTGACCGCCAACTATAATTTTTTGATCATGCATTCCTCTATACTAAAGGCAGTAGTAGTCTTATAAGGTTTTTCATTTTATTTTTAAAAGGCTCAGAACACAGAACACTGTATTGTCAAACAGTTATTCATTACAGAGATGAGAACACTTTAAATGCATTTACAGAGGCCTACAATTCAAAACTTTCTACACATGTGAAATAAGGTGACATTTTACCTTTCGATGTATTCAAGTTACCTGTGACACTACCAATTTTCAAGACAAGGAAACAACACATAGCAGAGTTAAAATTCTTTGAATTCTAATTTCAGTTAATTTTTTAAAAGGTCCTATTGTGACTGTGCAAGACTAAGACGAGCTTTAGTTTATCTATAGGATTTTAAAGTTACTTCAAGGTCTGTTTTTTCTTCTCTTAACATTCTTATGCTTCTTTCCAGTTCTTCAACCTCCAACTAAAAATCATTGACAGCAGTCTTTAGCTTTTCGTTTTCTATCTTCAGGTCTTCTAACTTGTTTAAATCTTCAAATTCCTTCAGGGACTCGTTTTCTTTGCACAAGTTTTCGTTCTGAGACTGAAGGTCAGTTACTATAGCCTTAAACTTTTCATTCTCACTCTGTAGACCTTCTAACTTCTTTAAATCTTGTAAATTCTTCAGTGACTCATTTTCTCTACACAAGCCTTGATTCTGGGACTGAAGATCATTGGCTATACCCTTCAGCTTTTCATTTTCTATCTTCAGGTTTTCTAAGTTCTTTAATGACTTATTTTCTTCACGCAATACTTCATTCTGAGACCGAAGATCACTAGCTGTAACCTTAAGATTTTCAGTTTCTATCTTGAGATATTCTAAATTCTTCAGTATTTCTTCTTTTTCTTTGCGTAAATTCTCGTTCTCCCCCTTTAAAGAAACAAGATTCCTTGGACGTTCTACAGATTCCTAGAAAAGAATTAAAATGGGACTTATAGAGAGAGTCAGACAGCTTTGACAAAAACTATGTAACAGAAGATACCTCAGTATTTTCCTCTTCTAATTGACAATTATTTTGGCCCAAAACTCCTTTTTTAACTAAAGTCTGTAAAAAAGAAAATAGTAATAATTCAAAACTCCTCTAAGTAGCTGGTTGGACAGTCAAAATAGGAAGATTTTTATTGCACTTACTTTTAAAATGTCATTCTTAATTTTGGTGTCCCTAACGCATAGTGGACATATCCAATCCTTTGCGACTGCTGTAAAAATATATTAAATAATTAGAAAATTGTGTGAATATTGTGTAACGTTAACAGAGATATCAAAATAACGCTGGCCAAAGGTAGGAAAATAAAAATTAAAGCATATATCTGAACCAAACAGATTAAAAGAAGAGACTTGCGGTGAAAAGTTATCGTGCTTGCCTTCTTTGCTCTGACAGACCACTACATAAGTAGTGGCACCACATCTTACAGTTGCAGCATTCAACCATTGGACTGTAAATTTTACGAGGGAAAAATTTCACTAAATAAAGAAACTAAAATACAATCGAACAGAGGATCAATCATAATGGCAATCATCAGACAAAGTCAAATAAAAATAAACAAGATAATAAAATTCATCAGAATTGCATTTAAGTCATTAAATTAACGTTAAATAAGGGAATTTAAGATGTTCGAGTTTTAGTACAGAAGTCACATCCTCCCAATGTGTTGGGTTAGCAAGGGGGGTCTGATTATCTTTAATACATCTATATTTGTGCGTTCTCTAACTTACCCCCAAGCCTCGATGCGACATAAGCAATGAACCTCTTCCTCTTCTTCTACATTCGCCTTCTTCCTACGTTTGCTTCCTGGCATGATTACTAATTTTAATAATTTTAATTAATATCCTCAGATCTTGGCCTGGCCCTTTGAACGAAGACGGTGCGCGCGAGTTGCTGTTTTCCCCCCCAGTGTCATGTACTGCTTGTGGAAATTTTACAAAGGACATGCCATGCCTTACTATGTCCATAGACAGTTTTAGTGCTGACCTATCTGCAGATTTGAGTTCCATTCTCTCTCAAAAACCAATAGACACATGTCCTTTTTGCCACATACTTCAAGCTGAACTAAAAACCAGTTCAGTAACTTTGCTTAAAGTTTTGATCATTCATTCAGAAAAGTTAGTACTTGTGTCCTTATTTGTAATTAACTGCTCTCAATACAAGAAATGTCTTCTCATGTCAGTAATGTTTCTATTCATAGGAGTAGCCCAAACTTCAAGTGGAGGGGAGAAGTTAATATTTTAGGTGACTCGTTTAAGTTTTTGGGCTGCATCGTGGATGCTGAAGGTGGGCCCTTTTATGCAAGCATGTGTCCGGATGGGAAGTTGAGGACACTTAAGGATTTTGAGGTAGCATTCATAAACAATAACATTGTTTTAATGTCAATGGAAACTACTCGATGCGCCCTAACGAAAGAGTTCGATCTGCTTTGCTGCTGAACCAAAAGAGTCCGATCTGCTTTGCTGCCAAACCAAAAGAGTTCGATCAGCTTTCGGCGCTCGTCGATCGCTCCGCATAAAATCTATTATATCTCGAAGCATGTGAGCGAAAGGGTATATGTTTTAGGGTGTACACATTCGTGTACACAGGCTAGTCTTTTTATGTTGCGTATATTCAAAATATACGAGGAGTTATAGCCCTCCAAAGATGCCTGACTTTCCAAGGCAGAAAAGCAGATCGAACTCTTTTGGTTTGGCAGCAAAGCAGATCCCAAGCAGATCGAACTCTCTTGGTTTAGCAGGAAAGCAGATCGGACTCTTTCGTTAGGGTGCATCGTACTAAAATGTTGGCATTAACTGATTAAAATGTGGAAGACGAAACAAAATGATGGATTTAACCATTTAAGTTATCAGTTCACAACAGTAGGAAGTATAAGAAAAATTAACTTTTTCCATATTAACAAATTTTCTTTTTTAAAGGTTTTGACAATAAGGCCTGGGAAGTTTGCACTCTCTGAATATTTGGTGCTTGCCAAGCTGACACTATTGTACACCAAAAAGGAAGTTGTGAGTACTACTGAGTTTGTCATGAAAAGAAAGTGTAATACAGTCAGCATACGTAATTTTAATGTACACACGTTTCTTTTTACAGAACGTAAGGCAACTTAAACCTCACACCAATCCAAGGAGGCATGATGTTAGTCAACTTGCATCCCAGCCTGCTGAAAGGACACGAAGGGGAGAAAATGAATTTAAGGTGAAGTAAACGTCAAGCTCTCCTTCCACAGTTTATTTTCTTATGGGAGGCACAAAGGATTAAGATCATGTGCACTTCGCCTTGAGAAATATTCTGCTGCCATATATTCCCAATGGAATTTTTTTGAGTTCTGGATGCAAGTTATCCCATGCAGACTGATTGAAGGATATAGGGATGGTGAGCAGGCCCTTCTTGCTCCACACCACAAAGTCACAGGTTGAAACTCCCGTCAAGGCCAGCTCCATTTGTACTTGGTCATAATAGATGGTGTTCTCTTTTAGTGTAATCTCTCCCTTCACATTTCTTTTAAGATAAAAGGAATTTAATCTTTTACCCTTCAGGTAGAAATCAAAGTAGTGAGGATCAACATCTTGAGGGGAGAATGGACATTTAATTTCTAAAACTTTCTTGACCCTCCCATTTATTTTAACCCAGCCATCATGGCTGCAGGACAGACCTGGGTATTCAGTATTCAGATTTGAGCCTCCTGCCACAATTGAGATTCATCTCAATATCGGGGTACTTTTCCTTCTGCTCTTGGTGGTATTCATTCATTTCGGGCTATTTCTTCATTTGTTTTTCCATATCTCATTCCTTCTGACTCTCCAGTTGTCATATTCCATATCTGGTCCTTGAGGAAGTTTTTCTTTGCTGTTTCTGACCTGAAATGTGCTATCCTGTGACAAACAGATCACTGATGATATGACAAACGAGCTTAAGTCCACCTCTGTAGGGTTGTTCGGTGTCGGTTTTTTCAGAGCGGTTTTCGGTGACGAAATATACCGATTTTTCACCTGAGTATCGGTTTACGGTATTAAACCGGTAACGTAAAATGAACCGAGATTCTTAAGTTAACCGGTATTGAAAAACAAACCGGCATTTTCCAAAATACCATTTTTTTTTGCATTTTAAAACGGTATTTTGAAAAATACGTTTTTTTAAATGTGCCAAACGGCAAGGAAATGCGGAACAGTGCAGAAAAATCAATCTTGGTGTACATGAAATAACGTCAACAGTTTATTCATAGATATAATATGATAGATAGACAACTCAACTGTTCAACTTGGCTTTGGAATGAATTCAGCGTTCATTTTGAGGAAAATTTGTTGTTCAGCGTGCTCCCCCGTGTGAGCAAGCGCCTGGAATCACAAATTATGTTTCCCCCATGACTGAAAAAAACGTTCAACGGATGTACTAGTTGCCGGCACCGCCAAGTACTTTTTGGCAAGCTTGCTGAGCTCGGGGAACATAGGCCCATTTGTGTCCCACCATTTTAGAGCATCAGCGTCTGCGTCGATTGAAGGAGAAGCAGAGTACTTCTGTAACTCCGCCCAAATGCGCTCATTCAAGGGTAAGGCACCTTGAGTCTCCCCACTGCCGGGCAAACCATCAGCCTCCTTCAGTTTGTCAAAAATTCCGGTCAACCCGACCTTTTGCTTTTTGGCCGGGGGTTCATTGGTGCAATCTCCGTCTCCATTTGAAGTGCTGCCAGCAAATTAAAGAGCAAAATGTTCATTAAATAGTTTCACAATCACGTTTTTTGCGTGGAAAGCCAACAATCTCGATAATGTAGATTTTCGTGCTCTGTTTCCTTACCGTTGTCTTGCCTTTGTGCTTGGTCCTCCATCGATGTCAGCTCCTGCAGTATATATTGTTCCACCTCTATGTCGCTCTCTTTCAGCGAACCTGTAAGCGTGGGTCAACGTACGTGCAAACTCCAAAAATTTGTGGTGATCCACAGGTCTCCATGCACCTTTAAAACTGTGCGGTTCATAACCGGGATAAAGTTGGCTAGAAAAATTTTCTGGCCAGAAAAATTTTCGACATCTAT